AATTTGGTATCCGCAAGACTTTGTAAAACTGTGTACTCATTTCACAGATTGGAAGACTGCGTATGTACCTGCCAGGCCAAAAGGAAACAAAAAGAAAGTCAGGCATAAATCTTATGTTTTTGGTTTCGCGCCCAGATTGCTATTATTATTTATTTTTGTTAAAAGATCGAAAAATACATTCTTTATTTCGGGTTTGATCCCTTTGTTCCTTTAGAATGGTTCACGTTGTTTTTACTGATGCATAAACCACGTTAGAAATATTCAAGAATTTTGGCACTTGAATGGATATCACTTAGTTTTAGTCGACCTTAATTCTCATCCATCACGCAAGTAATGTATGATCTGAGGGGAGCGACGTTAAAGTCGACGTTGAACCAGAAAGGGAAGATGTAGAAGATAGCAGACCAGGAAGTCTTCTATATTCTTACGACATTTTACGCACTTTGTTCTCCACACTGGGGTAGGGCTATACTAGCAGAAAGTTTCTAATTAACTGATAAGGCTTGCTTGTATCACACAATAAATTTTATGGCCCTTGAATAATATTCTTCCTGTTATGGAGGACAGACTTGTATATAATTATGTTGTTTTGAGTGTGCGGTTTTTTTTGTTGTTGTTGTTGTTGTTTTGTTTTTTTCAGATGATTATGTGAGAGACATACTGTTAGTGTATTAGCATGGTTTTGAGTTAGTGTGCATGAAAGTGTTCGTTTTCGTGTGGATGCGTTTGTATACGTGAGGAAGACAGAGAGACAGAGGAAGAGAGATAGAATGGAAAAAAGGGGGAGGGAAAGGGAAGGCGAATAGAGAAAGACTTCACGTGTATCTGTGTGAATGTGTGTGCATGTGTGTGTGTGCACGCGCGTGTTTGTGTGTATATGTGTGTTTATTAATAGGTAGCTCGTGCGTATAATATACGAGTATGTGTGTACGTGTGCGTGTTCATAATTGTGTGTGCGCATTATTGTGTGGATGTGTACGCGCTTCCCGTCCGCATGCACGCGTGAATAATTGTATCATGACTTATTTATCCCAAGTGCGTGCAGGCCTCATAAACAACACTAATCCTTTGGGAAGGGAAAAGGCTCACCTTGGGCGTGACAGGGCGGGTGTTGGGCGGAGATAAACTGACGGGGGACAGGGTGGTCGGTCGGGTGATCTTCCTCAGTGGGAACGAGTTCAAGGTGATGGTTCCGTCGGCGTTGAGAATGTTGTCGTCTGCTTCGAATGTGGGGAGAGAGAGAGTGAAAGGATGACATGAGAGAGAGAGAGAGAGAGAGAG